GGAGTTTATCTGACCTGGATTCCATGTGTCCTGAGTTCTTATCTGTACGAGTGTACATGTTCCAGTCTAGCCAGAACTGAAAGGCAGGACTGGGGTCATGACAGGTTGGGGGGTGGGGTTGAGGAAAACGCAAAGAGTCAGAGGAATATTGTGTGTTTAATTGGTACTCTACTGTGCTTTCATTCATTCATCCCTTCCTGGTGCCCCTTCTGTGAGGGGATGTCCTATTGTCAAAAAATGGGTTTTGAGTCTTTGCTCCAACACCCCTCTTTCTCAACAATATGGGTTTTTTGTTTTGTATCTTCTGGTACCTGTTACCTGATTCCGTTGACACCTCATGATTGCCCAGGCTAGTGTGCTTCTTCCATGTGGGCTTGTTGCTTCTTTGCTAGATGGCCATTGTTTAACTTCAAGTCTTTAAGACCTTACACGCTATATCTTTTGATAGCCGGGCACTATCAACACATTTGCTTGTACACCCATTTTTTCTTCAGCAGAGGGTGAATACCACGTTGTTAGCACAACGTGTTCTTGCATTGAAGGAGGGCTTGAGCAGAGGCACAAAGTCCATCCACTTCCTAAATGTATTGCCATATAAATATCTGGACATAGGCCAATACCTCTATTGTTATGGATTAATGTATTTACATAATTGCACATCTATGTTTATACCTTTATTGATAGCTTTGCTTCCTAGATCATTCTTCTGTTTCCTTTACCTTCCTCCTACACCACCATCATGTTCTCCCTTCTTCTTCTGCCTCTTAGTAATTCCTCTCAGCTAGATTGCTGTTGCAAATGTACTTTCAGTGTAGTCTGGATTTCTTCTTTCAGTACCACTGGTTCTTGATCATATGTGAACTCTGGAAATGATTGAACACTCATTAGTTCTTTTGGTACAATGATCCTGTGTGTTTCTTCCATGTTTTTTGATGCTTCCTGCATTGTTCAGCATTTTCCCCACAGGATCTTTCCGTATTCCAACTCGGGGCTTGCTTTTATTTTCTTTAGTCCTTCAAGCTTAAGATAGGCTGACCATGTTCTTCCTTTCTGGTTTTATCACTTTGCATTATAATATTTACATTTGCTTTCTTCACTTGCCCTTTGAAAGTTTCTGTTCATGTCTTTTTACTTCATCATTTCTTCCATTTGCCTTTAGCAAATGGATTATGAGCAAGTTTCGTAGGCTTTTCTTCCATCCACGTTGATCTTTTCTTTCTCTTCTATTGATTGACGTCTTGCTTTCCTCATCTATTGTGTTCTTGATGGCATCCCAGTTCATCGGGTCTTCTGTCATTCGTGTTTAATACCTCAAACGTGTTCTTCAGGTGTTCCAGACACTCAGGTAGGACATACTTAAGGTCAGACTTTGGCTCTCATGGACATGTTTTCATTTTCTTCAACTTCAACCTAAACTTACATAGGAGCAATCGGTGGTCTGTTCCATAGTCAGCCTCTGGCCTAGTTTTAGCTTCTAACATTGAGCTTCTCCATCATCTCTTCCCACAGATGTAGTCAATCTGATTTGGGTATTCTAGCTGGAGATGTCCACATTTGTAGTTGCCTTTTGTGCTGTTGGAAAAGGTGGTTGTGATTTAGAAGTCGTTGGTCTTGCCAGTATTACTAAAGCTTCTTTGTTGTATAATCAATCAATTTAAGAATGATGTTGGCATAATTCTTCAATTTCTTCATCACTTTAGTGAATTGGGTGCAAAATGGAATAACAATTGTATTGACTGGATTTGCTTGTTATTTAGATATGTATTATCTAATAACTGACAGCATTGTACTTCAAGACGTATCTTGAAATGTCCTTTTTTGACAGTGCATTCAACATTATCCCTCTTGAATCTGTCAAGACTGATTAAAAATGGCCAATATCAGTCCATTTTGGCTAACTAGCACCTAGTATATCAATTTTGTCATTCCATCTCATTGTTGACAACTCCCAATATCCCTAGATTCATACTTTGTATATTAAAAGTTCTAATTATTAATAGAGGTTTGCAACTGTTTCTTCTCCTTTTGAGTCATTCTCATAAGCAAATGAAGGTCCCAAAGGCTTTAATCCCCAAGCTTTACTCCATCCAAGTATTAAGGTTGACTCTACTTTGAGAAGGCAGCTCTTCTTCAGCCATAGTTTCAGTGACTTCCAAGCTGAGGGGCTCATTGTCCGGCACAATCTCTGACACTGTCCTGTTGGTATGCAAACTATTTTCACTGACTAATTCCTCAGAAGTGACCAGCCTATTCCTTCTTTACAGTCTGTAAATTCTGATGAAGCCTATTTACTTTCGGTGACACTGCTGATGCTGGAAATACCAGTGACACAGCATCACAGCTATACACAAACCACCACAGTTCGAAAAACTGATGAAGACGTGATGTCATATTGACCTCAACAATCTTACCTTTTGTTTCATTTCTGCTTGGCTTAGAAATTGGTTGAATAAAGAAAGGATGCTATTAACCTTCCATTCCCCCCCCTACACACACATACACACACACACACACACACACACACACAGGGCTACTCTGTTAGCACATTTTGTAGCAGAAGAAACTGCTTAGAGAGAGTAAGTAATATGTCCAAATTGGTAAAATTAGTTAATGATAGTCTATAATTAACCTTAAGTCCTATACTTAACCAGCGTGTGATATTGCTTCTCCAGGGTTGCCCTTTGTCTTTAAGCCCCTGAATTATGCTAATGCCATGCATTTTTTCAGTAAAACAAGAAACATAAAACCTTACCAATCTAGCATGGATTTTTGACCTATGGTTCTGGACTGTAGCAAGAGTCTAAGAAAAGACCTCCTAGACTTTCTTAGAAAATATATCAAAAAGTCTCATCTCTACAACCATAAATATTATACCTTGAGATTGTTTTATTACTGCATGATGATAATATTTAAATTAAAAACACCCCCCAAAAATAACATGAACGGAGAAATGAGATATAGACTAAGCATCTGGTGAGCTTGTTAAGTTAAAACAATAGCTACTGGGCGACATAGCTCATCTTGTGTATGTACCACTAAACATATGCTCAATAGCTGGCACTTCATAAATATTAAATCGCAAGTGCCTGTACCAAAGGACGTCAGGGTTCTGTTTTTCCTGGGAGGCTGATTAGTTCAAAACAACCTTTTCAGTTTGTCTATTTACTACATATACAGTCATGTGTTTAAATGAAAGAGGTACTACTAAATAATTCATTTTGTAAGGTTTTATCTGTTCCACCTTAATATATTGAAGGGTGGCTTCCGACGTGAATTGAAAGGCTTAGAAGAGGAACACCTTCTCCTTCCACCCTGTGAGAAGCCCCACTCCACACATCTTTAAAACGACACCAGGGACATCTGGAAGTGACTAAAATAGCAATGACTTCTAGCCTAGCCAAGGTTCTACTCAATTTCCATGTCAGTGCACTCGGCCTGCCCGGTGGGAGTGCTCTCCGCTCCAAAATCTGTTACAGAGAAACCGCAGTCCGCGCCAAGTTCCAAAAGAGCCCAGAAAACTCCTGTCCAACTCTGCGGTGCCACGCTTGCACGTAGTCTATTAAGATGCTAATGTTGGTTAGAATGTCTCAGGCTGGTCCAGTCCGAAGCCACTAACAGCTTTCCACAAGAATTGAGAATGTGGTTTTGATATATGGTCACCAGGAATCAAGTCGTGTATTTGTTTATCTAATTCACATTTATCAAGAACTTCACATTTGCCAAATATTGCGCCGAGGGCACGACTGGAGAGAGCTTTGCAGGTAAAATTCTGAATGTTACCATCTAGGAGTCCCCATCCTCATTTCAACAGCACAGCGTTTTAATACGTGTCCACTGCGATCATTGTGTCCCCTTGACAAGGTGAATTATATATTAGAACATACCTTAACTGTTCCTCTTTTGAGGCATGTGAAAGACCACAGCCATTCAAGACACGTGTTACACTTCTCTCAGGATGGGTCAGAGAACAGAAAGGAGGGGAGAGGATGAAGTTCAGCAGGAGATGTGGAGGGCGGCTCACTGATTGGAGGGTCACTGGATGCTGTGAGTCAGGTGAAGAGCACATCGGCTGCTGTGACACGGAGGAGCCAAGAC